TGGAGAAGTTTGGGGCGAAGTGTTGGACCTTGGTCATCGTCGCCTCATATTCACATTCTCATCTTGCCTCAAGCCGTGGTATTTCTCCTGATCCCTCGAGGCGTGGATCTCTCCCTTTGGAAAAGACGCGGATCGGAGTGAGAGACCATTTTTTTTAGGCAAGAGTGAGAGACCAAATGGTGTGGTAGTTTTTCACCGTCCGATTTGTCCCTATGGCCTCCCCGTCCCGTTTTTTGACAGGTATCTCAAGGGAATAACGGGCTACCAAACAAGACCTGAAGGATGGCAGGGATTCATCACCGATTCCAGGGTAAATTTGTAGGACGCAGCTCCTCTGACGTACGGCGCACTCGCTGACGTGTGGACCCGGACCCACGCGTCAGTGGCCCAACGTCAGGTGGCCGTACGTCAGGGGATCCGGCTCCAAATTTGTAAGCACAGAGAGCACCAAATATTGTGTGAAATAATCCTCCCTTACCAAGTGCTTAGAAATCAACTTGTTGAATTTCCAAATAAGATCCAAAACAGTAGGGTGAGTTGTAAGGCGAGAAGAAGGCATCCTGTTATTCTAAGCAAGTTTTACATTGCATCATGACCGTTGTGCTACAACCAACATGGGCAGTCTGTGCCCGATCGATACCTGTAGCAGTACCACTAATCTGTTGGTTGCTAGTCCGGCGGACCATTAATCTGAGTGGGCACCGCTGGCAGCCGCGCCGCAAAAATAGCCGTTGCGCACACAGCGCCGAGATAGATCTCTCCCACAGCACCCAACCACCCAGGCCCAGTCCTCCTCTCCTCCCCTCCCCTCCGTTAAGACTTGCCCCTTTGGCAATCGGCAAACACTTCAAATCCCCCGACCGTTGGACTCGCAACGTTCTTCTCCAACCCACAGCCCACCAGGCTCCTCCCCCTCGATCCAGCCGATCCCCTTCCCTTCTTCTCCCCGCCTCCAATCAAAACCACACATCACACACCACCACATCCCGAGAGAGAGAACCCTAGCTCGCGCGCTCCTAACCCTAGAATTCTGCCCGTCCATGGCGGCGGAGACCAAACCCTCCTCCGGGACGGAGGCGGCGGCGGCGACGGCCGTGCAGTTCCAGGTGGACGAGGCGTACGAGTACCGCGCGCCCAAGTACTTCGACTTCGTCGTCGACGAGACGGAGGCCGACATCCGCGCCGCCGAGCGCTGGTTCGAGGCCGGCGCCAGCCACGCGCCCTCGCGTACGCACCCCGCCCCCTCCTCGCGGCTTCTCTCACGGAAATTTACCCTGACTTGCTCTTCTTTCTCTCCTTCTTGCGCGCAGCCTTCGCCCCGAGGATCAAGGAGTCGAGAGCGGAGGTCAAGATCGACGCACTCTGCGACTTCGCGGACGCGGAGGACCCGGCTCCATCTCCAAAGGTAACGAAAATGGAAAGAGATTGCCTCGATTTTGCTCTGATTTGGGTTGGGTTGTTTTTGTTCCCCCTTCTCATTACCCAATCTATGTTGGTGTTTGCGGCGGTAGAACCAAGCAACGGAGGACGCAGCAGTCAACGTCACAAATCCGGCAGGGGATATCGACGGGTAAGCGCTGGGGTGATTCTCTTTCTTCTAGAATTTACATATCATTGTTGTCTTCTGTTTCTGCCAGTTAATTGTTGGGGTGATTCTGTTTCTGCCAGTTAATTGTGTTCTGTGACACCCCCAAAATTGCCTATTTGGACCTCGTATCTCTCCTTCTGTGTTTGGCATACTTTTGTCCTCATACCATGTTTGCCTGTCTTTCTTCATTTGGTCAGCACGTCTGCTTGTCCTGACACCATGTCAGAGTCGCCGCCATCAGAAGAGAAGGAGGAGTCACCCAAGTCTTTCGAGTTCCCCCTGTCCAAAGATTTGGCTGCAAAATGTGAGTCACTAACTAGTATTTCTTGGAGGAATGCCGTCTGGGAATAGATTCCTCACTTCTGATATCGACATTGCCGTGGTTTTAGCAGCAGATGTTGGGTCTAGCACGCCTAAGATTCAGAGGCCGCCTCCACCTGCGGAAGTTACCACTGCTGCGACCACTGCCAAGTCGACAGTGAAGGCTGAAGCGTGCACTCCCAAGGTGCAGGGGAGCTCATCCACTCGCTCAAAGACCGTGCAACCGTCTAATCTGAAGCAGTCCTCGCTGGCATTAAAGAAGAAGAGTGTGATCAAGTAGGAGAAATATATGCATGCTGACTCGTAGATATTGATTCCGTTGTCGAAAGTTTGAGATGGTTTGCTTAACGATGTTCTGGGTTGTTGGTTCTTAGGGGGACTCGTGATGCGGTGGCCGGAAAGGCAGCAGCTGCTGCAAATGATATTAGGCAAGAAAATCAGGCTGTGAAGAGGCAAAAACTAGATGATGGAAGTACAAGACAGGTATAGCAGGAACTTATATTACTGGCAGAACTTGTCCATGTACTGTGAACTTATAAATCACTGCGATGACCAGATATTGAACGTCAAGTCCCGGGTGCTGCCTCACAAAGGAAGATGTAGTTTAGCAGGAAGCACCGAGGTGGGACAGTCTTCCATGAGGCACCGCGGTGACGACACCCACTCTCTGAAGGTGGCGATATCTTCTTCTGACTCTAAATAAAGTTCATTTTGTTGCGTAGTGGGGAGAGATGTGAAACTGCAGGTGTAATGTGATTTTATTATTTTGTGAACTTGTACTTACTGTAATTGTTGCCCGTTTTTCAGGAAGTGACAGTGACTCCATACATTTCAGCAGCTGAAATGGTCAAGAAGTTTGAGTCAGGGACTAGAGATTTGGGCAGCCACTACAGCAGATCAATGTCTAATGTAAGTTTAAGTATTCCTTTCCACATATCGTGTGGGTGTATGTTGCTTAATTTTTGTTATTCTTGGCGCATGATAGCAGTTCGAAGTTTGATAAAAAAAATCATATCTTTATCATCAATCTGTGAATATTTGATGATGAAAACGGTATTAGTAGTTGACTAGGACCTTTACATCCATATTGCAGTTTCTATGCTCATTGTGAATTGTTGTTGTTTAATTCATATTGCAGATCAATGTCTAATGTAAGTTTAAGTAGTCCTTTCCACATATCGTGTGGGTGTCCGTTGCTTAATTTTTGTTATTCTTGGGGCTGATAGCAGTTTTGATAAAAAAGAATCATTACCTTTATCATCAATCTGTGAATATTTGATTATGAAAACGGTATTAGTAGTTAAGCTTTACATCCATATTACAGTTTGTATGCTCACTGTGAATTGCCGTTGTTTAATTTATTTTTCTTGGTGCCATGATATGGGTATCTCCACTAGCAATCCAGCGTTTGATGAATTGCCGCATTTATTACATCTTAATACTTGTCCATGAAAAATATATTATAATTTGGATTAACCATGCAGGAGGATGCAGCAACCGCCTCACAGAGAAGGCCCAAACTTATGCTAACAAGGCCAAAGGAACCTGAGTTTCAGACTACCCACAGGGTCCGAGCAGTCAGAATGAAAAGCTCTTCAGAACTAGAGGAGGAAATGCTGGCCAAGATTCCAAAGTTCAGAGCACGGCCATTTAACAAAAAGGTGGGAAAATTTCCTGTGTTTCTGTTTAACTAAATGAATTGCACGCCTCAGGGGATGAAGCCTAACTAATTTCTTGCTTCTGCTCTTAGATAGCTGAAGCTCCGTCTTTCCCTCCTCTTCCAAGGACAGCTCCACAGCTCCCCGAATTCAATGTACGTATTTGACTGTCATAACAGATTCACCGAGTGATCGTCCAATAATTAAGTCACGCCTTTGCATTGACTATAGGAGTTTCACCTTAAAACGATGGAAAGAGCGTCTCGACATGCTGACACATGTTCAGAAGCTTCTTCCGTAGGAACTATGCGGGTAAGCATACTAGCACCTGGTTTTGCCACGTTATGTTGTTGATTGTGGCAATTACTGAAAGTTAAATACATCTTGTAGAGTCAGGGTAGTAAGCCACTTAAACTTGCTGAAGCGAAACCCCCACAACTTGAGACAGCACTGCGCGCAAGGCCATCAAGGTACATTTATTGAGAAAACAATAATCACTTTTACTGTGCTGCAACCTTGTATATTCGACTCTAACATCAGCTTTAACAGGGTGAAAAGTAGTGAGGAATTGGAACTAGAAGAATTGGAGAAAGCCCCCAAGTTCAAGGCCAAGCCACTGAACAAAAAGGTCTTGTACATTTCAAACTTATATACATTCAACTATATAATGCTTCGGAAAATTAGTCTGAACATCATTCCATGCAGATTCTTGAGAGCAAGGGTGATATTGGTGTTTTTGCCCACCCGAAGGCCCAGGCAACAGAGCCCAAGGAGTTCCATTTTCGTACTGACGACCGCTTGGGACCTCCTGCAGTTGCGGATCTTCTCGACAAGGTGTGTGCTGAAGTAAACCAAAGTGTGTTGTCAGCAACCTTTTCACCTTTTTAAATCTGTTGTCTTTTTTTTGCAGCTTTCTCTGTACTCTGAATCTTCTTCCTGCCATGACAAGAAAGATATGCCGATACTGACGATACCCAACCCTTTCAATCTACATACAGATGTATGTGAAATGTGTTTATACTTTCTTGCCCATCTTTGCTGCAAGCGAATAACACTGTACCCATGTTTACAGGAAAGAGGGCATGACAAGGAGAGGCAACTAGAGGCACAACTGTTGCAGAAGAAGCTAGAGGAAGAGAAGGCCCGGAAATTCAAGGCTAATCCCTATCCTTACACCACAGACTATCCAGTGGTACGTGCAAAGTGATAGATATATGCTGAACATATCCTGGTCCCAGGCCATCTCTTAACATTTTCCACTCAGGTGCCACCAAAGCCTGAACCGAAACCATGCACGAGGCCAGAAGGTTTTCAGCTGGAGAGCTTGGTGAGACATGAAGTGGAGCAGCAAAGGCTAATGGAAGAGAGAGAGAGGATGGCGAGGGAAGAGGCTCAGAGGAGAATTGTCAGGGCACAACCGATACTGAAAGAGTAAGTAGCATATGCAATCTCTTGTCCTCTTGTGGCTCAGAGGAGAATTTATGATACACATCACACGATCTCACTCTTGTCTTACGACTTTTTAATTTGGTTGCAGGGATCCTATTCCTCTTCCACAGAAGGAGCGAAAGCCTCTTACTGAAGTGCAACAGTTTGAACTGCATGTTGATGAGAGGGCGGTTCAAAGATCAGAATTTGATAACAGAGTCAGTAATTTTGCCTGCTTTTTGCTCCTTGTATACTACTATACCTCTGAAATGAAAGCTTTGTAGGAAGGAGGGTTTATGGAGCATTTCATTGTGATGCAGGTGAAGGAGAAGGAGATCACTTACAAGAGGTTGCGAGAGGAAAACGAATTTGCACAGAAGGTACATACATCCCTGCCTGTTGGTCAGTCTTTTTTCTTGTGTTGTACCATAGCGACTAACCAACCTCTGTATATGTAATGTGTATGTGAAGATCGAGGAAGAGAAGGCGCTGAAGCAGCTGAGGAGGACCTTGGTGCCACAAGCACGGCCCCTCCCAAAGTTCGACAGGCCGTTCCGTCCACAAAGGTCGACGAAGCAGGTGACCAGGCCCAAGTCGCCACAGCTTCAGGTGAATGAAAGAGGGGCGAGAAGGCACCCGTTCATGAGATAGATGATCTCAGTCTCCATCTGCTGTACCTGTTCTTCTCTTCTCTTTTCCCCTGACGCCAAGATCATCCCTATCTGGTTACCAGAGTATTGTTGTCATTCTTTCTCATCGTTATATAGGCCCCAGAGTTCCGTGGTACTATTGTAGGTATATAGTCAGTCAACACAGCTGACTCTGTGGATCTGAGATGGGGCTATTACGGATTGCTGATTGATTGATGTTACTGTGTCTATATTAATTCCAGTTTATCTGTTGTTTGTGCCACTATATTGATGAACAACTTGTAGTGCCGCTTAATTGTCTGTCCCGTTGCTGCAAAACTCGTGCTGCTTTTGTTCTATTTGAAGGACTTGAGTTTTGTTGCACATTTATGGCGGCCAAAACGTATTGGTCCAAATAAAAAACACATGCGCAACATCTGCAAGAATAAGATGAAAATAATATGTTTGGATGAAATGAAGACTAAAAATAAAATAAACAACTCGCTTCTTTGTACATGAAGTTGTTCATCAAATACCAGCTCCACCGCGGCTTCTCTTTTCATCCATACCAGCTCCACCTCGCTTCTTTTGCCCTTGAATGGAAGCGGCTTCGCGAGTTTCTTCGTCGGCTCGTCTGTGGGGTGGTTTGAGCGTGACTCCTGTTTTTGTCCACACTCCCTGTTTTTCAGATTTGCCTCTTAGGGTACTGCGACCTCCTTCGCGTGCTTCGGTTGAGGTGAATTCTAGGTGAGCCATTTCTTTGGTCATTTTCGTGTGCTCTGCTTAACAAAGTGGGTGTGCCCGATCCTTGCTTCTTTGGCAGGTTTGGTTGCTTCGTGCGCCTGGAGGATTCGATGATGTTGTCGTTCGGTTGAGTGCACTGTCCGCCGTCGTCTTTCGTCTTTGCTGCACTGAGGTTTGCTTGTTTAATTTGCTTGTGTAACATAGTTTGTTCTCTTCGTGTTGATATCCATGCATTTTGTTTTTGTGTGTGTCTTCTTGCTGCGATAGAATTTATCTGTTCGAAATTAAGATCAATGCGGGTATATTGTGTTCGGGAATTGTGGGTGGATGGTGAGAGGATTGGTGAGTGGCTTGTCCTTGGGGTCACGTCACGGGGCTCCACTCGAGCTCCCGGGCAGACCGCCGCGAGAAACCAAGTGCACCATAGGGCCCACGCCATGGGTTCTAAGTCCATCCATTCTGAATAGTTTGGTCGGCGGTATTGAACAACAGGGCACGGACAAGGAGGGTCGACTATGGAAAAGGATTAAGTGGTTGGTTGGAAGGCCCGGGCAACCGCTCTTCAGCAGATGATGCATCACATGAGAGGTCGGGTAGGCTACCCGACAATTCCGAGCAGCCTCACACTCGGTGACAGGCCCGAGCAAGGCACACGCCCATCAATGTGTGGATCGCCGGTGCCAAACCAGGACGCTATTGTACATGTGATGTGTAATAGTCAGATTTATTGATGCGGACCGACCTCTCACTGACTTGGAATTTTATGATAGACGTGTATTGGCTGCTATTATTTGTTCTTTCTAATTTCACATAATGTATTGCTTAGCTTTTAAGCTCTGTAATTGCCTTGTTGACATGGTCGCAATGGGAGATCCTCTCGCCGGCTCATGGGCGAATGTGGGCTTGGCCATGGAGGAGCTTGCGGGTTTTGGTTCCGTGGGTTGTTTGCTCGACTTGCACGTGCATGCCATGTTCCTGGCCGTACAACCGGGTCTGCTCCAACTACATCATTAACCTATGCGATTGTATGCAAAACGAACATCGTACCGTGACATATCATGCATGACTATCAATAAGCAACAAAGAAGGCAAGCAAAGCATATGAAATAGAGTCTAACAAACGATGCTTAAAAGAAACATGTTTTATCCATTGCGCCTTGGCACAAGACCCTTTTGGTTAAACCAATAGCAAGAGTGGACAACGTACTCTTCGTTTGGGCTTGCTTTTTAATGTTGTGTGGCTTTTCGAAGCTGTTGGAGTCGGCCGACCGCGGTCTACTGGTGCTTCTCAGTTCTAGTCCAAGCTTATTTTTCGTGTCAACTTACTCCTCAAGTAAGAAGTACCCACACTTCCACATTTTAGAAGGAATGAGTGTTGTAGTACCCACATTTCCACATCTTAGAAGGAATGGGTGCACAACACTCAAAGAGCTTGAAAATTTTGTGTCAGCTTACTGCTCTTTGTGGAATTTTACCATACCAACACTTCCACATCTCGGAAGGAATTGGTGCACAACACTCGAAGAGCTTGAAAAATTCAACAAAGTGAAAATTTCTTCCAGAGTGAATACATTAACGAAGAACTCGACTATTAGGGTGCCACGACAAATTGTGCGATGCCCTGGGTCACATAGTTTTTATACGGCGGGTCACGCCACCAACATTTCTATTCGGTTCTCAATTCTATATGATATTTTCTCTCATATTTCTCTTTGCCGTTTGGATTATTTCCCCTCCCCTATACATTTCACTCATAGCTATTATTCAGGTATTTGTTATTCAGGTATTAGTTATTCTTTCCTAGCTTTCTTTTTCCAAATCTTTCTCCAGAGTTTGCTGGATGATCGAGTGAATTCATGCAATTTTCTAATTTTCAGAGCCTCTCCCATGTCTTTGATGCTAGCCAAGACCCCATCTCCATCATCCCAAAACCCACCCAAACCATAATTCCAGAATTTGGAATTTGAAATCCTGCCTTTGATATTACAAAGGAGCCCTCCTTTCTTTTGCTCTGTTAATCCTCCAAAAATTCCTAGAGATCCTCCTACACCTATAAACCCTGGATATGCAAAAATATTGCCAAGTCATATGCAATATTTTTCATCTGGGATTAATTCATTTTCCTGTCTATCTGAGGAATTAAATCCAGAGGCATAGCTAGACATCTCTAAATTTCATGAGAATTTTTGGAGATGATCTTGATGCCTATTCCAAGCTCTGGTAAAAATATTGGCCAAATTTGATTAAGGAAAATTTGATTTTTCGTTGACAAGGCCAATAGTCTATCTGCCACTTTCCAAAAGAACTACCATTTAGTAGTCAGGAAAATTCCCAATAATTTGTGGACCTTCTACTTGCTATATCTTCACCATTTCCATCAAACCCCCATGCTCACAGTTCAAAATTTGAGCACATGATCCAATACAAGTTTCTGCCTTGTCTAAAACTTTGTGAAGGAAGTGCTTGATTCTTTGATGCAATTGAGCTGAAATTTTGCAGGGTAGTTCATATTGATATATTACTACTGCAAACCAAAAATCAGCTCAACCTATTTATCCAGTCTTTCCCTATAATTTTCTCAAGTTTATGTTCAGATCCTAGCTTTGTGAAGGAAGTACCTTCATAGAGCATCCAAATGAGCTACAATTTTACCAGATCATTCTCAAGACTACATCATTGGTCTCCACCAAATTTCAGCCAATTTCACCTAGCCATTCTTCCCCAGCATCCTCATTTGCATTTCTGGCCAGTTGGGCACTTTGCAAACGAAGTGCCAGCTAGCCTCATCTTTCGGAGTTGAGATTTTGCCACAATGATAACCGTAGTAGATGACCACCCTCACCCAAATTTCAGGCCAAATGGAGATGTGCATTGCTCTCACCTTCAATCAAACACTTTGCTGCTGATTAAGATTTGTGCACTGTGTAGTCACATAGTGGGCCATGGATGTTGTTTCTTTGCACCAAGCAGTTAATGGGGCAGTGCCTAACCCGCCAGACATGCTCGGGCCGCCCAGAACACGTGGAAACACAACGGTCACGCGGTGATCATGTGTAGAGCGCGCGCGTTGCATGCAGTGAGAGTGCACTGTGCACTGGACCCGCGGGAGGCCCCTCCCCAGCGGCCCAGCTCGCAATGGCGTGCCACGACCTCGCCCCACGTCGCTTAGTCACCTTCCTTCCCCGTCCCCTAGCCTCTGTCCGGGCGTGCCGGTGTCGGATGCTTCGCCGGAGCGTCGCCACATTGCCAAGCTTCGTGCCACCTCCTCCCCCTTCTCGAGCCTTCCCCGCGGATACTTTAGCGTGTCCCGAGCCCTCTATCACCACCCACATGCCTCCCCGAGCCTCAGAGTTCCCCTTTTCCCCCTCCATTGCCGGAGATTGCCGCTGCTAATCCCCTTGGCCAGTCCATGATCGAAGCCCTTCCCCTCCCTTTCTTTGGCGCCTTGGCCCTCCCTCGACGCTCGCAGACCGCCGCCCCCCTTCGTTTACTCCGGGAAGCCCTGCCGGCGCCACCCATCCCTTGCCATGCTCCGGCCGTGGCGCCCGAACCGCGGCGCCGGTGCTGCAGGCCGCCCCGAGAAACCTCGCGGCCACGCGGCGTGGAGCGGCAGAGCTCCTGCGCGCATCGGCCGGCCCTCCCATGCCGCCGGTCGTCGCAACCCCCTCTGCCTTCGATGGGGAGCAAGAAGAAGACGAGGGAGGAGGAAAGAGAGGATGCGGTGGGCTCCGCGTGTCATTGTCACAGCGCTGACCTGGCGGGCCCGTTGACCAATTTAAGTGAAGGCGTATTTCGCCAGATACGCTTACCTCTTGAGGAAACGTACTCTGCCACGACCTCATGCGAGAATGCACTTTCTCTGTGCGGAGGCATATCTTCAGAAATGCGCTTTCAGCCCAGCCTGCCGGCGAAATAGTTACATTGTTAACGTTCGCACGTTAAGGACACAAATGAACATATTTAGTCTGTTTTTCTGCTTAACGAGCGAACGACCGTATTTTCAGAACGTAACTCCGATTGAGGTAATTCCAAAGCCCACGTTCTCAGTTCGTCGAGCCTGTTTCGATGGTGCCATTTTCATAATGTTGTCACACGTTGAAAATGCCATCTTTTCCCTTCTTTTATTCTAGCCCCCTCCCCTTCGAGAACACCAATTCCGATGAAAACAAAAGTCTTCATGCTTCATAATCCTCGCATCAATATCAATATCTTCAAGGTCACACCAATTTCCTCATTTTCAAAGTCTTCGAGAAAACCAAAGGCTTCAAATGAAGATAT